GCTGCCCATCCTGGTGCTGACCTCCAAGGAGCGGGCGCTGAACCGCAGGGCTGCGGGGCTGACCATGGGAGCCGGGGCCAGCGCCGAGGAGAAGCATTCCCGGGAGCTGGAGAAGAAGCTCAAGGAAGATGCTGAGAAGGATGCCAGGACCGTCAAGCTGCTGCTGCTGGGTAAGGGGGACACAAAACCCTGGGGGACATAGCCATCCCTTGAGCATCCCACCCTAACAGCCTACCCAATGCTCCCCTGAAACCTACCAGTGCCCCCCAACCCAACCAATGCCCCTCATCCCAACCAGCACCCCTCAACCCATCCAGCACCCCTAAACCCAACCTGTGCCCCTCAACTCAACCAGCCCACCCCACAGCTGCTCCAAAACCCAACCAGCCAATCCTCTGGCTCCCAATACACCCCCAAACCAAGCAGCCCACCCTCACAGTGCATTCAACATTCTCCTGACTCACCCAGGACCCTTAAAACCAAGCAGCCCACCCCAAGATCAACCCCATTCCCAGCAGCCCTAAACCAAACCTCCCCTTCTCAAGAGCCCACCCAATGTTTCCCTGATCCCTCCAGCACCTTTGAGCCAAACCAGCACAACCCAGGAATGTCCCCAACACCCTCCCACTCCCAGGCATCCCTAATGCCAACCAACCCCTCCCCAGTAAAACACCCAAAGTTTCCCTGACCTCACTCTAAACCAAATCAGTTCAACAGTCCCCAAGCCCCAGCTCCTAAGCACCCCTAAACCCTGTCAGCCCACTCTAGCAGTCCTCTGACCCCCACAGCACCCCTAAAGCCAAGCAGTCAACCCAAAAAGCCCACCCAATGTTTCCTTCCCCCTCGGCATCCCTAAACCCAACCAGCCACCCCAACAGCCCCCCCATTTCCAGGATTCCCTAAACCAGCTCATCCCTCCTTGCTCAGCACCCCTTACCACATGCCCCAAACACTACAGACCATCTCAACAAGAAGATGAGATCCTGAGATCCTAAGGTCCCAAGATCCACCCTAAGATCCCTCGTGATCCATATATCCCTCAACCCAACCAGCCCTCCTAACACTCCCCCAAGCCCAGGTCCCCCAAACCCAACCAAACCACCTTAAGAGCCTTCACCCACACAACCTATCACCACCCCAGCCTGTGAGCATCCCCATGCTCCTGGGGACCCCCATGCAGCCCATCCCACCACCCCATGCATGTCCCTGGAGCCCCCTTGTGCTGTGTGTCCCTCCCAGTCCTTGCCAGTCCCCCAGGGGTGCCTGAGGATTGGGGTGCTGTGTGTGTGGTGGGGCCTTGGGTGGCATCACTGTCCTCACAGCCTGGCCCAGGACACATCTGCATGCACAGCCACAGGTTTGGGGCATTGCGTGGTGGGTGGCAGGGTTGCGATGTCACCATGTCCCCAACCCCTCCCCTGGGCTCCTGAGTGTCCTGGCTGAGCTGCTCCAGATCCCATTAGACGCAGCAGCTCAGGCTAACCTTAATGCCACTGGCACCAGGCTGTTAATCCCCCTGCACACCCACGGAGCCAGCACAGCCAGCAGTGCCCACAGCCATGCCAGGCACCAAGGCTCTCAGAGAGCCAGCCCGGGCTCAGCTGCGAGTGCCCATGGCACCACCATGACCCTGCTTTGTCCCCTTAGGAGCAGGGGAGTCAGGAAAGAGCACCATTGTCAAGCAGATGAAGTAAGTGCCAAGGGGGGGTCACTTGATGGTGCCCACCATGCACAGTGTCTGTGCCACACTGCAGCCATGGTGTGCCCTATCCCACTGTGCCTGAGTGCCCCATGCCACTGCCATGGGGTGCATCCATTCTGTGGCTCAGTTCCACCCAGCTCAGCCCCACGCCTGTGATCTTACCCGGCCAGGATCATCCACCAGGACGGTTACTCGCTGGAGGAATGCCTGGAGTTCATTGCCATAATTTACAGCAACACACTCCAGTCCATGCTGTCCATCGTGCGGGCCATGACCACCCTCAACATCCAGTACGGGGACACGGCTCGCCAGGTGGGGGGCATTCCATGTGGGACAGGAGTTCCTGCAGCCCCCAGGCCCCACTGACCCTCTGTCACTCACAGGACGATGCCCGTAAGCTGCTGCACCTCTCGGACACCATCGAGGAGGGGACCATGCCCAAGGAGATGTCAGAAATCATCGGGCGGCTCTGGAAGGACTCGGGCATCCAAGCCTGCTTTGACCGCGCCTCCGAGTACCAGCTCAACGACTCTGCGGGCTAGTACGTGCTGGGCTCAGGGAGCGTGGGTGGGACGGGCATCAGGGGGTTCCAACCCGTGTCTCATGCCCACCACGTGCCTGGCCAGCTACCTGTCAGACCTGGAGCGCCTGGTGACCCCCGGCTACGTCCCCACAGAGCAGGACGTGCTGCGCTCCCGCGTCAAGACAACTGGCATCATCGAGACCCAGTTCTCCTTCAAAGACCTCAACTTCAGGTGGGAGCCAGGCCCCAGCGAGGGCTGGTGCCGGGGGGTGGGCAGGGAGGGGGATGCTGACCCTCCTTTGTCCTGCCCAGGATGTTCGACGTGGGTGGACAGCGCTCAGAGAGGAAGAAGTGGATCCACTGCTTTGAGGGCGTGACCTGCATCATCTTCATCGCGGCTCTCAGTGCCTACGACATGGTCCTGGTGGAGGATGATGAAGTGGTGAGGAACGCTCACCACCTCACAGCCCCTCTGCTTTGCCCCGGCCATGACACAGGTGTCACCACGGGGCTGTGTCCCTCCGCAGAACCGCATGCACGAGAGCCTGCACCTCTTCAACAGCATCTGCAACCACCGCTACTTTGCCACCACCTCCATCGTCCTCTTCCTCAACAAGAAGGACGTTTTCCTGGAGAAGATCAAGAAGGCCCACCTCAGCATCTGCTTCCCCGACTATGACGGTGAGTGTGGCGGTGGCTGGGGGTGGTGGGGCGCTGCTGGAGGGCTGGGTGCCACCACCCCCGCAGGAGTCCCCACCAGGTGTCCTCAGCACCCCACGCAAGTGGCGCTGCATGAGCCTTGCTGAGGGACAGTACAAGCTTTACCCAGCTGAGGGAGCACTGGGTAATCCCGGGCCGGCATTTTGGCGGGGGGCCAGTCCAGGAAGGGATCCTGCTCACTGCCCCACCACCAGGTCCTAACACTTACGACGATGCCGGCAACTACATCAAGCTTCAGTTCCTGGAGCTGAACATGCGGCGGGACGTGAAGGAGATCTACTCCCACATGACCTGCGCCACCGATACCGAGAACGTCAAGTTCGTCTTTGACGCCGTCACTGACATCATCATCAAGGAGAACCTCAAGGACTGCGGGCTGTTCTGAGCCCCGGCCGAGCACCCCCACCCGGGACCAGCCCCACCGCTGACCCCATTCCACCTCCACAACCATCCCCGCTTGCCCCACACCCCTGGGATTTGACCTGCCCAGCTCCAAAGCCACCCCTGGTGAAGTGGGGGGGCAAAATCTCACACCCCCTCCCCACCAACTCTCCCCCTGTGGGGCCCCCAGGTCTGCTGGGGGTCTCTGGGGCTCCAGGTCCTAGGGGCACCCGGATGACCCTGTATACTTTGGGGTGCTGCAGGTAACCCTCAGAGCTGTGGGGGACGGGGGTTGCCTTGGGTGCTGAGGGTTCCTGAGTACCCCTTGGAGCAGAGGGCTGTTTGGGGGTCCTGGGTGTCCCTAGGTACTTGAGGGATCCTGGGGTGTCCCTGGGTTCCCTTTAGAGCTGACAGGTGCTGGGGTTCCCAGATAACCCTTGGCATTGGGGAGACTGGGGGATTTTGGGTGCCCCTTGGTGTTGGGAGTCCCTGGTACCCCTTGGAACTGAGGGGTGCTAGGGGTTCCCTTGGGTGCTGGGGGGTCCAGGTGCCCTCTGAAGCTCTGGGTGCTGGGGTGGTCCCTCGGGTGCTGCTGGGTGCCCCCCTGGAGCTGGGGGTGCTGAGAGTCTCCACAAAGTCCAGAGCTGGGGGTCCTTTGGGTGTGGGGTGTCCATGGGTGATCCCCAGGACAGGGGGTTCCTGTGGGCTGCTGGGTGCAAGGAGCACTACATCGCCCTCTGGGCTGCAGATCATTGGGTGTTCCTGGGTTCTGGGTGGCCCCAGGGACTGATTGTGTGATACTGGGGCTCCCCTGTGCCACCATGTCACCATTGCAGAGCCAGGGGGTGGTCATGTGTTTGTTCCCCCCCACCCCACAGCCCCTCGGGGTAGGGTTCAGCCCTGCAGCAGCACCCCAGCTACACCCCCAAGGGTCCCCCCACTACCCTCACCTCTCACGAGCAGGGGCTTCTCCTGACCCCAGTGGGATGCCAACCCACCTTGTGCCCCTCTCCCACCCCTGGGGCCCACCCCAACCCTCCCACAGAGGTGAAGCCCCCTGCCCACTCCCATGCCACACAGGGCATTTCAGTATATATAACGTTTCTCTCTCTTTTTTTTTTTCCTTTCTACATTTTATTATTTCAAACGACGTGAACAGTTTGGTAAAACATCCTGTGGGAAAAGCGAGGCCGCAGGCACCGGCTGGAGGGTCCCCCTGTGCTGGGGGGACAGCGGGGGCCGCTCTGTACAGCGGGCTCTCCTCGCCCAACGCAACAGCTAGCCCTAAAAACTAGGCTTAGAAAGAGGGGGGGATAGAGGCAGTGGGCAGCACCCCCTGCCCACCCTCCTGCCTGAGCTGCCCATCGGCATGGGGGCAGCAAGGCGGGGTGGGGTGCAGACCCTCCCCCCCAAAGGCACACGGTTGGGGGGTGGGCTGGCCACGGAGGATGCCACCACCACGTAGCACTTGATGCTTTTAAATAGTTTGGTAAAAAGGTTTGTTTAAAAAGTAACATGTGCCCAACCGGTGTGGTGTGGTGTTTTTTTTGCATGGTTTTGGGTTTGGTTTTGTTGTTTTTTCTTTTTTTTGGTTTTTTTTTTTTTTTTTCCTTTTTTTCTTTCTTCTTTCTTTTCTGGTTACTAAAAGGAATGTCATCGGTCGTGTTTGTGGCTGGGTGGGCATCCCTGAGGGGACCCTGTGCCCCCCGTGCCAGCAACACTTGCAATGTAAACAGTGAGAGCACCACGGCTCGGAGTGAATGAAATGGGGGCTGAAGGGTTGAGGGGGTACAAACCAAGATTAAAAACTTGTCTTCCCTGGAAGGGCAACGCCGGCGAGGAGGAGGACAATGGTGGGGGGCAAACACGGCCGGCAGGGGGTACGTGGGCCCTGCCACCATGCTGACACTCAAAAAGTCTCTTTACGTGGTGGGCGGAGGAATGAATCAGAAGAGAAGCAGGAGTGGGAGATGGTGTGGTCCTTCCTTTGCAGCTCCTAGGAGAGAGAGGTGGTGAGCAGGGGAGGGTCTGGGGAAGGGCAGCCTGCAGCTGAAGGATGGTCCATGACCACCACCCACCTGAGCCTCAGAAGAGACCACAGTCCTTCAGGTTGTTTTTGATGATGACGTCGGTGACGGCGTCAAAGACGAACTGCACGTTCTTGGTGTCCGTGGCACAGGTGAAGTGGGTGTAGATCTCCTTGGTGTCCTTTCTCTTGTTCAGGTCCTCAAACTTGCTCTGGATGTAGCTGGCTGCCTCATCATACTTGTTGGCCCCTGGGCAAGAAGAGACACTGGGCTGCCCCACAGTTGCCCCCAACCACCAAAGGGTTTGGGCTTGGCTTGGCCCTCCACAGCCACTGTCCTGTGGCCAAATTGAGGCTCCAAAGGCAGAATGACCCTCAGACAACCACCCTTCAGGACAGCTGCCCTTTGTGTTGGGCATCACTCCCCCCACATCTCCTGGGGCAACCCAAACACCCATCACACCCCACTTGCTGCCCCAACCCACTGCTCCTGCCAGGAGGGCAGGGGGCACAGAGGCTCCCAGTGGTACCTGTGTACTCAGGGAAGCAGATGGTGAGGGAGCTGTGCACAATCTTCTCCTCAAAGAGGTCCTTCTTGTTGAGGAAGAGGATGATGGACGTGTCTGTGAACCACTTGTTATTGCAGATGCTGTCAAACAGCTTCATGCTCTCATGCATCCGGTTCTGGCAGGGAAGATGGCAGCATGAGCCAGGCAGGGACCCGCAGGCAGCACCCACCCCACTGCTCCCCAAACTGCCCCCCCTCATGCTCCTGCCTGCCTGGGCAGGGGATGGCAATGGCCCTGCAAGGCTTGGGCCACCCTGGCCAGGGCACTGGTGGCCACCAGAGGAGGGGCTGCCACCCCAGCCCCCCACAGAGGGGACAGCTCATGGCACTGGTTCCATGCCCATGACTCACCATCTCCTCATCTTCAGCCAGCACCAGGTCATAGGCACTCAGGGCCACACAGAAGATGATGGCTGTCACCCCCTCGAAGCAGTGGATCCACTTCTTCCGCTCCGAGCGCTGGCCTCCCACGTCGAACATCCTGCAGCAGGGGGGTGACACGGGATGGATGGCAGCTCCCAGCCCCACCACCCTCACCCCATGCCCTGCCTCAGTGTCCCCAGCTGCTGCAGCAGGAGCAGCACTGGTGCAAGCAGAGCACAGTGCCTCTGCCCCAGGGATTTTGCCAGTACTGAGGATCTGCCCTGGCTTCTGCTGCCAGGACAGTGCCCAGGCTCATTTCCCAGCCAAAGCAAATCCCTGACGTCAGCTGGGGCAGGATCAGGCCACCTTTCCCAGTGGTTGTCAGTGTCATGGTCCCCAGAGACCTGCTCCAGAGCAGGCACAGCAGAGCTTTGCCAGAGACCTTGGACCAAGGGGAGCCAAGTCAGTGTGGGCTCAGCAGGACTGTGGCAGCAGCAGGGCTCAGGGATGATCCCGATACACCATGTGCCTCTCCCTCCACAGGCAGCAGAGGATGCCCTGCCTCCATGGAGAAGAGCCCAGCAGCAGCATTCCACATCCACTGCCATGCCCAATGCCAACTGCTTGGCTGGAGGGAAGGCTTCCACACTGCATTCCCCCAGACCACCCTCACTGCCACCCCCAAAGTGCTGCCCTGGCAATGCACAACCAAGTGTCTCCATTCTACCAGGGTGGCATCGGGGTCCCTGTGAGACCCCTGCATTCAGAAGGACCCCAGCAGATCTTTCTGACATCAGCTCTGTTGCCATGGGACCAAATTCCCTGGGGATGTGCACAATGGCAGCTTTTTGCCTCCGAAACTGGAGCCCTTATTATTTCCCGTGGGTTTTCAGTGGAAAGCAACTGCAGGGTGCCAGCAGGCAGCACTGCCACTGCCTGACCCCGAGCCCCCAGCTCCTGCCCAGCGCCCTTCCTGCAGCGGAAGCAGCGTCACAGCAGCGGGAGGAGGGACGCCTTCCCCCTCCCCTCCTCGCCAGAGCCTGGATCCGCCCCCAGGCTCAGTTCTGTGAAGTGTTTTTGAGGCCGTTCCAGCTATTTCAGCGGTTTCCGCTCTCTGAGGCAGCAGTTCCCGCCATGAGCAAACCAGGAGGTGGGGAGAAGTGAGTGCACACAGTGTGTCCCATGCTCCACCTGAACAAGGGGAGGAAGGGGTTTGTTTGCTTTCAAAAAGGCAAAAGGGAAAGATGTCAGACATACTTGAAGTGCAGGTCCTTAAAGGTGAAGTGAGTCTCTACAATGCCCGTGGTCTTCACCCTGGTGCGCAGCACATCCTGCTGGGTGGGGATATAGTCAGCACGGGCTATCCTCTCCAGGTCGTTCAGGTAGCTGGGGACAAAGAGGAAAGGTGCTGTGGGAGCTGGACACTGGGGCACAACCCACCCAGATCCCATGGGACATCCCCATCCCCTGTGCATCTCCCAGCATTGCTCAGTTGGGGTGGGCAGTGCCAAGCTGGGATGCACAGCAGAGTCCCCCGTGTGCATCCCGGAGTAACCCCACATCCCTGCCAGACACAAGCAGGGCAGGACACCAGTGGCCAGGGACACACAGCACCGAGGGACTGGGGGCAGTGTGCTGGCGCTGGGAGCCAGGCAGAGGATGCAGCCAGGGCTGAGGGGCTCACCCCGTTTCCCTGGCCGTTTGCACGGGGGGAAATGGCAAGAGGAAAATATTCAGTGCTATGGCAACCAGCCGCAGTGCCGGCGGAAACAATCGATGGCGCCATGCCATTTATAGTCAAAAACACAAAGGGACGGCGTCCTGGGAGGAAGCAGGAGGTGGGAGGCTGGAGAGACAGGGAGCAGCGCCGTTGGGGGCTGCAGGAGTCCTGAGCCCCCCGGGAGCATCGCCCACCTTGCTGCCTGCACAGCCACAGGTGGTGGCTGGGTCCCCAGTGTGAAACACCCACCAGCACTGATGAGGGCTGCCAGGGGGATCAAGGCAGGTTTTGATTTCTCCAGCTCACATTGCTTTAATTGGGTTACTACAAACGGGCTCCTTTAAGCAAATTAGGCTTGTCTTAATTAAGGCATTTGTGGCCCTGTAATCTGGTGAAAGCCAGATTACAGCCCGCGAGGCCACAGGGATCCTTGGCTCCGACTGCAGCACGGCCACTCGCCAGCTGCTGGGAAACCCTGCAGCGTGTCAGGGCAAGGCCAGGGCTGGAGGTGCCCCAGGAGCCTGCTGTGGGTGTGAGGGTGGGGGACCTGCACGTTTCTGCTGCAGAGCAGCTCAAAAACAGCCGGAAACACACATGGCCTCTGGCTACGAAAAACAGGAAACGCCACAGCAGGGCCCTGCGCAGCGCCACAGGCTCTTGGACATTGCACCAAGCCCCAGGGTGCTGCCGAGCACCACCCCGGCACTGTTGGAACTCCCAGAGGCAGAGGAGGACCGGGATGGGGGCTGCTGTGCTGCAGAGGGCTGGGGCACAGGTGGGCTGTGTGCTGGGTGGGCACAAGGCTCCTCATTCCCACACTGTCCTGCTCTAGCAGCACCGTGGGCACATCATCCCTGTGTGATGGGCAAAGGATTGGCCACTGCACAGGGATCTCCACGGGGCTGGAAAAAGGCTGGAGCAACAGCTTGAAGGTGCTCCTAATTAATGGTTGTCCAACCCCCACCATGTGCTAAATGCTGCATAATGGCACTGACAGTGACAGGCACTTGGCAGACACTGTGCAGATACACCTGCTCCAAATGTGTGTGCAAGCTCCCTGGCACCTGCTGGGTGTTCTGTGCTTCCAAACCAACACCCACTGCCAGGGAAATGCCAGGGCTGGCTGGGGAGTGATGGGGCTGAGCAGACAGGAGCTGGGGAAGGTGGGGTGTGACCATCAGGAGGAAGTGAAAGCTGCGGGTGCTGGGGGAAAGAGCTGACAGGAGCTTCTCCAGGTCTGGGGCTTGCCAGGAGCTTTCCTGCAGTCTCCTCCCCACAGTGACCTCAGTGCAAAAGAGAGACCTGACACTGCTATGCATGAGGGGACAGCTGGGGAATGGGATGGCAGCAAGTCCCAAGTGTGCAGGGATCCCAGGCAAGGCCAGGCTTGGTGGGGTGTTCCTGGCACACCATGAGCTCCCCCCACACTGCTTTACCATAATGGGTCTGGGTGGAGAGGGTAGGAGGGCACTGTGCAAACTGAACACAGACTCAGCTGTGTTGCTCTCTCCAGCAATGGTACATTAGGCAGATTAACTTTATTTATTAATCTCTTCAAAAATAAACCCAACCAGCTGCAGCAATCTACCTAAACACCAATTTGCTGGGTAATGCACAAGTATAATGCCAAGTCGTTCTGTATAAAAATAGTTAAAAGAAAAAGAGAAGCCTCTTGAGCATCCTACTCATCCTCTTCAGACCTAGAGTGTCCCCAGGACTTTCCTTGGAAATTTTTCTTGCCTTGACAGCAAGAAATTTTTCTTGCCTTGACCCATGAAGGGTGATGAGGATGGGCTGTGCTCATGAGTGGGCAGCCAGTGGAGAGCCTCTCCTGGGGAAGGGCAGAGGGGACAGAGCAGGGGCAGGAGGGGGATGCCCCAGTGCCCCCCTCCCAGGGTACACACACCCCACCAGAGAAGGAAACAGCTTTCGAAACATCCGCCTTCCCAGTTCCGCTCGGGCTCAGCCCCAGCACCCTGCAGGAAGTGGCAGCACCAGCTCCTAAGCCTGGGGAGGGTGAACAGCAGCCCCTGGGGGAATTTTCTGCTGCTTCATAAAAGCACTGTTGCTCCCAGGGCTCAGCTGAGCT